GGGCTGAGAACATGTTGAGAAAGCGTTCTTGGATGGTTCATGCTCTCACTGCGAAAGCAGGACCATGTTGGCATTGCGGTCACGTCTTTCCTTTTTTTTGCAAAGGTACGAGTACTCTCTCCTGTACTCTCTTCTCATAGCAGAGCTGCGGGTCTGGTTAACACTTTGGGAGACCTGGGGGTTATAGTAAGAGCTCTTCCGCCGGGGCAGTCCCAAAGGACTTCCCACTCCTCTAGCATGCAATCTGCCATCGAGATGGCGCGGGTCCCTCTCATGGGGCACCCTGTGTGTCATTCAACGCTCAGATAAGGACCAGATGTGAATCGCTGCATTGGAGTGAGGGCTATGTCCTCTGGAGAGAATAATGAAGCTGAGCTTCCCCCCTTGAGGGTGATGGCTCACACTGAATTGGGTTCAGAGTTGAAGGCCATGCTTGCCAGGCCGCCACAGGCATTGGACTCGAGTGGAACCCTCCACCTTCCCCCAAGCTCTCACGTTTGGATGATTGGTTCCTGGTTTACAGCCGCGTTCCGGACCAGTGCCTTTATTCCTGGAAGTCCATGAGGAGCTTCAGAAGTCATGGAAGGCACCTTTTACTACCCGAAGAAGCTCTGTAGCCTCCTCCACTGTCACTACCCTCGACAAAGGAGCCACCGAGGGTTACGTGGAGATTCCACAGGTGGAGCACGCAGTAGCGAGGCATTTATCCCCGAAAAGTGCTGCCACCTGGTGGAATTGCACAAATATCCCGTCCAGGCCTGTAAAAGACAGCAGCCATAGCTGCTAAGGGTTACAGTGCCACTTGCCATCCTGCAGGTCCATCTGGCAAAAGCTCTCAAAGTCTGCTCGTCGCAAAGGGCATCTCCCTGCTATGTCTACACCAGCTCCAGCTGACCAGACTTGTCATCCCGCCCGCCCCGTCGAGACCTCCACAGAAAGGCAACACAGTCCGCTGCAGCTAAACTCTCGGAAGCATCCATCTAAGCAGCTCTGAAATGGGCGGCCCAGAGGTGGAGGGCATTGCTCTGAACCAGGAGATGGTGAACACATCACTCCTTCCCCTGGAGGAGGAAAGGGTGGATAATCTTCAATTTTCTTTTTATTTCAGTTCCTTATTCTGTTCCTGTTATTTATTTTCTGGTCCTAGGGCAAGCGGTACCCACTATTTCAATAAAAGAGCAGTTTTCTCAGCCTCTGGGCCATACTAGACATACTAATTTCTCCATACTGAGAAATTAATTTTGTCAGTATGGAGCCGGTCAACCCCTGTACTGGGCTAGACGCTCATATCCTGTGATTCCCCCTAGGTAATCCCATATGAACACTTTCCACAGTAAGATTTCCCTGTTGGTAAACCTGTGTCTTTCCTTGGTCAGTTTCTGCTCTTCCCTGTCTCTGCATCGGTAGTAGTTCCATTCCTGGTTTTGCAGGAACTACTGCAGAGATCTTCCATATGTAGCACTGCCCCACAGTCCATATGTGTATCCACCACACGCTACCTCCCTTTCGGCAGGGTGTGGCCTCCATAGCATGCTTAGGCATGCTTCCCTAGAGTTAACAACACTGGTCATGGCTGATAATATGGGGATATAAAAACCAAAGCAGTCATCCCCTTGAAATATGAGGTGAGGATAAGCTACGACCTGGGGGTAAGTCCTGTCCCTTCCATTCCGTTGTTATGGAGGACTACTGGTAGGTTACGACTGTGTGAGGGCAGTTGCCAAAAGGGCAAGCTATAGCTTGCCAGCATCTGCATCTCCGACACTTGTAACACAGTTCAGTGGCTGTGGTGCTTTCCATAGGGATCCCAATACGTCAGTATCGACTTAACGTTGAACGTGACTGACTGAATGGGAAGGTCTCGGTTACTGATGTAACCCTCATTCCCTGAAGGAGGGAATGGAGACATTATGTCTCTCCTACCACAACCCTGAACCACTGCTGAATGGCCATGATTCCTGTCTCGGCTCCTCAGCAAAACATGAATGGGTGAGTGCGAGTCTGCCTTATATACCCGTATGTCCGGATAGGAGTGGCTCGACATGCAAATCTCACTGGCCACTATCTATTGGCTTGTTTAGTTACCACGTGATTGGGCTCCTTGGGTTACATTATCGTATTATATTCTATGTGTATTGGGCTACATTATCGACGTAACATCTCTGTTCTACAGCCAATCTAGAGTGCAAGGATTCTTTCTAACGTTTAGTGAAGCACAGCGCGTCATGCAATTTCAGCATGGCGAAATACAAAAGGGAACTATTACGAGTAGGTTACAATCTTCATCTCTTGTGAGTGTACACAATTCAGATGACTCTTCATAAAACACAATTTATTCCTTAATGTGTAAAATGTTACTACTACAGAGTGCACCTTTAACTGTTCTTATTTTTTATAAACATTTTTAATTTTTAACTTTTAATTTCATCAGAAGATATTACACATGCAATTACATGTAGAATAAGTTTCATTTGTAGTTATCCTTTTCCATGTTGCAGGCCACTACAAGCACCTCAGCTCAAAGCCCCTGGCAGTCAGAAGACTCTGGGACACTGGCTTCATTCTCTTTCACTCAAACAACATCAGAAAATTGCTTCTATGGCCTCACTTCTTCAGAATCCTATGCAATTTTATGATAGACATTTTGAGGAATTACTATAAGCCCAACTTTCTCCATGGAATGGCAGCAAACAGCTAATATGGCATTACTACAGAGGAAAAGAGATTTCCAGAGATCCTGTGATCTATAAAACCATACGAGCTAGCAAACCACTTACCAGTAACATTCATCAATCACTATTAGTGTGGTCATGTACATGACAGTCCCACACTTGAACATATCTCAGCACATCCCATCATTCATATCCCTCTAACTTTAGCTGCATGAATATAACAATCACAGATGAAACAAGATAAAAAAATAAAATAAATGGCAAAGTTTAAATTTATCATGGCAAAGAAGCCATTAACATATACAGTGTTAGGAATTGTGTCAAGAGGTACCAAGGATAATAGACGTCCCCCTGCCAGGTCCCGCATATTCATCTGTCTTTTTTCAGGTGTTTGCCATCAAGTTTTGATCTGGTAGAAGTATATGATTAAGATTTATAATCTTTTTATTGTTGTACTAATGATTTCTGGCTACTAATATAACCCATATAAAATAGTGTCACACTCATTACGAACTTTGTTTTCAGTTTGCACCATTTTCCCTTGTGAGTTTGTCCTTGATGTTAATTTGATTTGTCATCACTGTCAGCTGTGTGTCGTTAATCACATCATTTGCACCTGTATTTAAGTTTCTGTGTTTCTGTTCATAGTGGTCCGGTGTCTATGTGAGGGTTGTGTTAAGTTTGTCTGTCTATTTGGATTACCGTCATTGTGGATCATTAAAGACTTTTGTACTTGATCCCTTTATCTTTGTGCGTAGCCAAGTTGGACAAATATATCTGTATAATACATTTATGTGAGGTTTTTGGCCTATATTTTGATGTGTGTGTATCTTCATTTTTCATTCTTCTATTATCTGTTTTTGGACAGTAATAACAGTAAATTATACATGATTGCAACTAAATAACTAATTCCCTAAACCTAACCCTAACTGTAACTCTATATAGTTAATTAATATTACTCAGTACTTAATAATGAATAACTATTTTACAATTTTAATATTTATTTATTTAATATTTAATATATTTAAATATTTCAAAATAATATTTCAGAAATATTTAATATTTCAAAATATTGTTATATGTAACATGGTGACTTTATATTTGTCTTCAGTGCTGTAATGCCGAATTAACAGATGTCAGTGCTTTTCCTCTCCTGGTGTCTAATATTTTGCTGTTACATTTCCAGGATAATGTTATGTTGTCATGGAAGCAGTTGCATTTCTACCTGCATGGAAAAGAAGCTTGACTGTTCATCTACCAGGCTGTAAAAATGACACTACTCTTGGCTGAACTTCATGTGGCATACAGCATGATTATTCTCTGGCTACACACCACCAAATGGCGCAACAGTGCAGTATATCGGGTGAGGTGAGAGGGGCATCAGGCTATAGCTGGAGTCTTATGTGTTGTGACTCAATACTGCTATGGCAAGCTGTTTTATCATTTATTCTTTTAAACTAACCAGTATTTATTTTTGTGTTACTAGAACTTTCATTTTTTTATTTATTTTAATTACTAAATGAATCCTTATCGGCTTTCAAAACAGAGTGCATACATATGGGTTTATTCCTTGCACTGTTTTTATTTTAGATCGAGTTTCTGGATTAATGCCCCAAATTCCTCTGCAAATAAACACACAATGTCCAATGTTTAAAAAATCAGCATATACTCATCAACAAATAAGTCAGAAATTCAAAACAAAATCAAACAAACTGTAAACTTGGCATATACATAAATAATAAATCAAACTTAAAATAAATCAGCTAAATAAAAATCACTTGCACTGCATGAAGCCGATGTCTACCCGTGGCTTTGAAGCCAACATTTTTTAATGATTGGTTAAAAAGCCCATAGTTAAATTCACCATTGTGTTGGTGTTATTCACTTGAGGTACCAAATACTTAGATTTCCTGTATAGGAAGACTGACATTATTTTATTTTATTTTTCAACTAAAAGCAATATTACAACAACAGTAATTTAACTAACAAAAACATATCTTATTGTAATATGTAATATCCTACTTTACTGTACAATTTACAGCAATTATTTATCATGCTCCCACAATTAATTGCATAAAATACAGCAATACTGTTAAAAAACAAAACAAAAAAAAAAAACAGTAATTAGGCTTCTTGAAAATATTTACTTTTACAGTGTATGTTATGGGAAACAGGCGATTTTCCAGCTACCAATGTGAAATGGAGTTTCGATTAAAACATTTAGGTAAAATGCTAAAAGTAGGATTACTTTTTATTAATTACAAATAAGCACTAATAACATAAAAATGAAACAAGCCAGTCTATAAATGTTAAACCGGCTTGCCACATACTGCGGCTATAGAGAAAAGCCTTCTCGATGTATAGTCCATTCGCCAAGCGCTCACAGGATGCCCCCAACTGCGCGTGGACTTCTGCTGCACCTTCACCGTCCACCTCACACACAAAAACCTCTCTGACGCGAGGGAAATGGTGCAATTGGCAAAAGGCGGAGTGATCTGGAACTCTTAAGTGCCATGAAGAGACAGAGGCATCCCAGTCAAGCAGCACATCCCTCTACACGCCTGAAGATGAAGATGATCTCATGCTTGCGCCCCTTTACCTCCCTGTCTCGTTTAAAAACAATGTCTTCAAGGAAATTCGCTGCATGATTCAACAATTACGCCGTATCTCCTGAATTATCGCCTTTCTTCATCAAACGAGATCATTTCATGAATTAAACTGCAACCCAAAATGAAATTTCCAACGGAAAACCCAAGGAAACCAGGGAACTGGAACCCTCCACAAGGTAGGTACACATTTCGTTTCCAAAATGCATTTCCATTGCGATATTGTTCATGCCGCATTTTAGACAGAAGTTATAATGAGCATAATGAAGCATCACGCGCTCTGGCATCCAGTTGTCATGTAGAGTGATTTAAGAACCCAACAGATTAAATCAAAAGCACTTTAACCAGGATGCGCAAAATGATGATGGAGTACCAATGGGTGAGGTAGTTGACTGTGTTCAGTTTGTCTTGCATTGTCAAAGGTTTAACGTCTCTAATAATGGATTTCATTCTGCCCATCTCAGCAGTGGACACCTTCATTAGTATTCACATCCACGCGTGTCAATCACAACATTGCTTCATGCTCCTCTAGGTCTTCCCCACAAGATAAATCACAATCACGACGTGACCGATCGAACTGTATGGTTGATGTTTGCTGCGATAGTTTAGCAGGATGGAAGAGGAAGAAATCATAGAGACGTCTACTATATAAGAAATGATCCTGCGATCTTAAACAGAGGCTCATCATTACTTGTCTAAGTCTGCGAGTACTATGCAGAGATACGAGCTATGCATAATGAAACGCGGGGGACACGCGCATTACCTAATCTTACTATAGCGAAAAATATCTCACATATTTACGATAAGGCGTTTATATACTTAACCACGTTTCAGATAAATGTCATACAAAGTTATAAACGTACTTTAAGACCTTCCTGAAAAAAATAATAATTAGTTTTATACGTTTGATTATTTAATTTTTGTCGAATGAATAAAAGTCATTATTGTCTATCTATATTTTAATCTAAATTAGTAAGACTTATTAAAAGTGTTAATTCACATAATAATTTGATCAGAAGGTTTATGGTCAAAGGAGCTTGTAAACAACCGATCGGATTGTCACAGTGAATTATTGCGGTCATGCTGCAGGGATTGTCCACATAAACAGCTGTGCAATACTACATCATATTGCAGGCGAAAGCATTGCCTGACTACAAGAAAGTTGAGGGGAAATTATTTGAGGCTTACTCTTCATATGTGCCTTGTGTGATTAATGAATTTTTTGGCTTATTGATTCAATTTAATTTATTTACAGTTCCACCTCCACAAGATGATTTAAGTTTTTTTTAGAATATGCATATTAGCAGTGTTCTTATGTTTTTACCTGTTTAATAATGTGTTAATGAATGTAGTCGGTCAGAAACAGTATAGCTTTGTTGCTCCACCCTGGTGCTGCATCTGCTTTCTACTGTAATGGGTTTTCAGAAAGCCAACAGAAGTGTGTGTGTGCAGGCATGTGTGTGTATGTGTGGATATGCAGCACTGATAAGGAACACAAGAGGAAAGCAAACCCTAAGCTCAAAAAGTAAATTAAATTTGATTCTAATTTTTGATTCTTGAATAGGCTAGTTTTTCCAGTGGATAGATGACAATGTAAATCATTGGTCTGGAAATCGCAGGTCTTTAGGTTGATGGGCAGCAGGAAAAAAAAAACAAATCATCATATAACAGTGCTTTTGGGATAGCAAACATCATAGGTTTAGCAGCTTTTAAATGAATAACATTTCTGTCCTAAAATATAAGATTGTACAAACATTTTTGTTCACTGTGTACTTGGTGTTCAATGTAAAGTCTGTGTGAACGCCATTTCACCAAGTACAGCATGTTCCTGGATCACCGTCTATGTTGATCCTGGAACAACACTCCAATCAACCAATCAGATTTGCGGAACAAGTTTACAGTTTGTCAGGTTTAGGCTTACAGCCAGGGTTAGGTGCTTCTACATCAGTGTTGTTCACCTATCATTTTCCTCTGATTTTAGGGATAACTAATGGGTAGGGTTAGGTTTAGGGGTAGGGATAGGATGAGGACAAAATTTCCAGACAGAAATGTTGGTTGATCCAGGAACATGTCTTACTTGGCAAAATCACGATGACCGTAAAATCTGAGTCCTAAAGCAAAATCAGCTAAGAACCAGTGTTATACATTACATAACAGTATTGTCTTTCATTCCAACAGTGCCAGTGCAGACCAACCTGGTGCCGCCAAAGAAGGTCCAACCAGGGATGTTGCAGTCCAGTTTGGTGCAGGCCAGTGTGGCCACCATGCAGAACCCCATGGGGTGCTCATTACCCCGCCTTTCTGTCTCCCGGCCTTCTAGTATGGTGGCCAGCATGGAGGCGGTGGCGGACGGCTCAGCCCTCCTCACAGTCATGAAGTGGAAGACTGTCCTAGCCGTATTTGTGGTGGTGGTAGCGTACCTGGTCGCTGGCGGTCTGGTGTTCAGAGCCCTGGAGCAACCCTTCGAGAGCAACCAAAAAGACACCATCACTTTGAAGAAATCCGCCTTCCTGCAGAAACATCCCTGCGTGACCCCCAATGAGCTGGAAGAGCTCATCAAGGTAAAACTGTTGCTTGTCTGTAGTAGAGCTCAGGCATCCCTAGTGGGATCTCAGATCTAGTGTAACAATATAGCTTCATCGATCTGTCTGACATGTGAGCTTCACTCATGCAATACACCGGGGCACAGCGGTTGGACAATGCTAAATGGAGCAACCGACGAAAATAAATGTCAGAGCAGACTTTCATAGCAGATTTATGACAGCAAGGCGTTGGAGGCATTGAATAGTGCCCACGATGGCAGTAATCAATCTGTTTAGCAGTATTGAAGCAATGTGCAAAGTCCATTCTGGTCTTTAATGGTTCCCACTTACCGAGCCTACTTTAACACGACTTTTCAGGAATGTGCTCAGCGATAAAACAGCAGAGATTTATGGGGGAAACATTGCAAACCCTGCAACCTTTCAATCTCTGAATCCTGAGTAATATATTTTTGGCAGGTCTATGATGTGATGTCTAATGGTGTAACAAAAAAGATTCTTCATTCCTGCAAAGCTGATGTACGGTAGATTTATGATTGACTTTCCCCCTCTCACATCAAGGGTTCAAGGTTTTGTTGATTGGCATGAACCCATTTGCCCCTGCTGGTAGATGATGTAACTACATCACCTTGGCTGCAAAGACCATCTTTCTCCTTAGTCCAAGTATTCTGACCAAAACAAATGTTTTTAAGTAGTATTTAAATGGCAAATCTTTATTAATATTTACCAGTCTGTTTCTTTTTCGGAATCTCTTAAAATAATTTTCCCTGTTTGCGGTCTTTGACATCACAGCTTAGGATAGAGAAAAGCTCCGTATAAGTAGTCCTTAACGTCCCCCTGTGGTGAAAATCAAGCTTTTAATGTTGTTTATGTCTATGTGGTGTTTTTAATATGCTTGAAGTCAAACCATGTACAAATTCATAAGTCAACACCATTGCTGAGTATTTTCTCCTTAAAACTGCAGTGAACCAAAGACACTCTCAAAAACACGGTTTGAAATCGCTGGTGTTTCTGACGTCACAAACTATCATGTAACCAATCACGTCAATGAGTGGATCTCTGAGCTGGTGTGAGAGAGTGGAGGCGGGGTTAATTTGCATATTCATAGAACCGCATATACTAAATGAGGCAAGGGTGTACAGTTAAGTTAAGTACAGTACAGTTTCGCTTAAGTTAAGAGACACACAAAAAAATATGTTGTTGTCATTGACGTCAAACCTGGCCAGTTTGAATATCCAAATAAAATTTGATTGCTGTGTCAGTAGGGAAGATCAAGGGACAGTTCACCCAAAAAATTCTGTCATCGTTTACTCACTCTCATGTTGTGCCTCAGTAAGCAATTGTTGGGTCTGGTGCAAAACCGTCATCACAGACTCCATCCACACGATCACGTTGAAATTCCATTCTGGATCTGCAGTGAAATCATGATCATCCCACCTGGTCTCCCCAAGCCATGGGCTCCGGATAAAAGGTCAAGTTGTTCTCCTTTTTCAGCAGCCCAGTCTGTATGCATTTCTTTCTTATGTGGAACACAAAAAAATAATTACGAAGAATGTTGTAAACCAAACATTGAAGCATTGAAGCCTATTGACTTCTACTATATGGACAAAAAATATATACTTCTCAAACTATCTTCTTCTGTTCCACAGGAAAAAACAGTCATACAGTTTCAGAATGAAATGAGGGTCTGATGACAGAATTTTCATTTTGGGTAAACTATTGTCACGCGTTGTTGCAGTTGAAGCGCATGACTCGCATATGTCCAAAATCCAATAATCCAGAGCAAGAATATTCAAGAGAACTAGCAACACTGAACAATGAACAGAAAGAGCTCAAGGCTTAAATACTCAGGGAGGGTAAACAACTGAACAGAAACAGGTGTGTGGAACTAATTAACAAAAATAAACTAACTAGGGAACACAGGCAGGCAAAACAGGGACAGAACACAGTGAAAATGAAACCAAAATGTATTTAAGCAAAGCTAGTGTATGCCTTTTGAAGACCCAACAAACTCTCATGGCAGTTCTTAAATATTTTTTACATTTTGGCGAATTCGTACAATCTAATTTGTACGTTGCTACGATCTGCTCACACCCCAATGAATGTTAGGTTTAGGAATAAGATTAGGGCTGGATCTTCATTTTTCTTTTTTTTTTTAGTACTCATTCATAAGTAATTGCAAATTCATAAAATAAAATAAAAAAACTCATAAAATATTTATGTTTACATTTATATTTATATTCTTGTCCATGTAATCTGTTTATAGCCTGGTTTACAAGGTTCAGGTTTTGTCCATGCTTGACAGAAACAGTTTATTTGTCTTGCAATGTGTCACCTTTTGCTAGCCCTGAGAATTTCAGGGACCAGTGCTCACACTGCTCCTCATAAAACAGGGAAAGTGGCGCCCAAGTGCAGAGACCTTCCAGATATTGACTCTGGTTCTGTTCCAATACCAAGTGAGCTGCCTTCATAGACAGCATTGTAAGGCATCATAGGCACCCTCACAAAGGAAAGGCTGTTCTAAAGGATACGTTCTTCCTGGCAAATGCTAAAGCATTTGATCAATTAATTAATAATTAAATGTCAGGGGAGTTGCGTTAAAAGATTAATGCTCTATCGCGCTTGAACATAATGTACCATCTTCACTAAACCCTATTCTAAAAACTAACCGATAGTGTTAACAAAAGCAAATGCGAGATAAAAACACACTTGCTGAAGCAACCATGCCATTTTAGCTTGAGGTGACAAACAATAATTTGTACCAGGTGAGGTACCAAACAAGTTTATTACATCAGAAATGCACTATGGTAAAAGTGTTTTGAGGTCATAACTTGCAAATAAGGTGCAAATAACTGCCGGGTGTTTTACTGCCACTGGTGTTCATTTCAGCCGGAAACTGCAATGAATTGAATGTACGTTTTTGGAGTTTTGAAAAATGGTAGACATTTTTCAAATGACCCAATAAAGTGCAAAACTAATTTAAGATGGTAAACATATTTCAAAAATAGCTCATCAAGTTAGCATTTGGATTGTACAACCCTAAACGCAAAAATCTTAAATACATTATGGTTTACTGGAAGTCCTTAGATATTTTTGTCAGACTTTAGATTAGGGTCCAATTCTCACTATTAACTATGACTTTTCCCTCAATAAACTCTTAATAGCTACTTATTAACAGTTAGTAAGGTAGTTGTTGAGTTTAGGTATTGGTTAGGATTAAGGGATGTATGCAGAATAAGGCATTAATATGTGCTTTATAAGAACTAACAAACAGCCAAAAGGCTAGTAATATGCATGCTAATAACCAACTAGTGAGAATTGGACCCTAAACTAAAGCGTTTCTTTAAATGTTATTTTCCGATATTTTCATACAATTCAGATCAGCGTCCAAAACCATGTTCACGATACAAGCAGCTGCAATACTCTGTCAATGTCTAACTATTCTACCACTTTCATTATTCACTCCACGGGTTACAATACTAACACTGACTGGAAAGTTTACACTTTATTTTACAGTACAGTACGTGTACTTACATTGTATTTACAATGTAGTTACCCAAGAAAGTACTGGTAATATAAGGAAACGACATGGTTTAAGGTAAGGTTTGGGGGTAGGTTCAGGGTTAGTACCAAGTTATTAGTATGGTATGCACATAGGGAACAGGACTGTAAAATAAAGTGCTCCCACTGGAAGACCATTTGTTTAAGTACACAGTCTAAATTCAGGACTTCTGATTGTCTTGAGTTGTCAATGTTGTTGTGTAGTTCTGGTCTGGTCTGATTTTGGCTCTAAAATGCTACGGATTTTTTTTCTCTCTAGACGTCCTTGAGAGAGGAAGCCAAATTAAAGGACTAGAAGCTTATTTGATAGATGAGTGATGATAATCATCCAGCTCCGCAGATAAAGAACAATCAAGTCTTAAAAGCATCCATTGGGGAATCTTGATTCTTTTTGCACTAATGGGGCTCCATCAGGAGTATGGGCAGGGCGAAACGTGAAGCCCGCCCGTTGCAATGCTCCCTGGAATGACTAAGGCGGGTAGGTTAAAAACCATAATTGAATCAATAACCTGAAACCCTAATTTAATCTAGAACCAGCAGCATTTGAAAGCTTTGTAACAAAGCACCGTTTTAAAATAGCTCAGCCTCACTGACTCCAGAAGAGAATGAGAGAGGCGTATGACAGCGGCTTCTGCTGTTGAATGTTGCTGGAATGCTGGAAGACAAATAAAATGGAAAACAGATCTGCAGCAAGAGATGTAACTTGTGGTTTTGCTGATTATAAATGCTGCAAAGCGTCGATGATTCAGGCTAGTGGCGTGTGGATAAGCTGAATGTAAGCTGTTGCTTTCGCTCTGCTCGGGCTGCGAGCTGTGCATATGTACTGCAATCTGGCAGTGATGTAACTGTACTGGAGGTGAAGAATTTGAAGAAATGCCAAAGCACTTATTCGAGCTGTGCATCAGACAGAGCATGCACACTGAAAAAGGTGTTTTCAGCTAAAATGGCCAGGAAATGTTCAAGCATTAGCGGACTGTATGTTCTCTGTCTGGTCTAAAGCTCCAGGAATTGCTTTTGCTCAGATTCTTCACCTCCAGTTACATAACTCTACTTGCAAAGAAAATGAAGGAAAATATTCAATTACATTTGACTTTATACTGTTATTTATCCTACTTACTACACCTCTGATACAAAAAAAAAAAAAAAACAAAAAAAAAACAGGATTACATGTTTTATCCAAATGGCGACAAATGGTTTATCCAGGAACGATTTGGAAGGGAAATACTCACGGAACCTGTAACGGTACATTTCCCCCTAAAACCAAAAGACTAAAAATCATTACAAACAAATAAATTAAAACATAAATAAATACATGATTTTTAATGATGATGCATATAACACTACCATAATATATAAATACTTGGGAATGAGACTTCATATTTTGTTTAGAGTTATGAGAACTGGATTTTCTTTTTTTGTTTGTTTTACTTTTGGGGGTAAAATATCTTATGGATAAATAATATCCTTAGTGAACCTCATGATGTCCAAGTCATATTTTACCACAAAAATCTGAAGAAAAAATATATTCATATATTTGAAAAGACCATTCAAATCAGGCTAAAGTAGGCTTTTTTTTGTAACTATGTTTTACATCTGGGACCTGTATAAACTCTGCTGACAATGAACACAGTTTGAATTGTATGTTTCAGCTGATTTGCTATTGTAATCAACAAAGGGTATAAGAGATACAACTTAAAAATGTATTTTCAATCAATTGCAAAAGACCATGTATTGTATGTGGCAACTTAAAAGGCTATAGGTAAAATTAAAGAAAGAGGGTATTGTGCCACTGTGTGACTGTAACCGGTTACCATGAGGCTTGAGAGTGAGTAATTTTGGAAACTACTACAGTATACAGTATGACAAATCTGCATACAACAAACAAGATCTGACTTTTTTTTTTTTTCATGCTTTCGGTATAAATTTAATTTGGAATCAGGGCACGGTGCCACAGTGATTAGTAAAGATGTGGTTGCCTGATTCATTTGGCTGGGTTTAAAGCAGAATCTCATAGCTATAAAAAATAGATTGCTCATGATATCTCAGGTCAGTATTTACAGCTTATATATATGGTTTACTTCTGTCACAATGACTCATGGTGAGATTGAAGCTCCCAGACACTGTCATCTGAGCACCTGCTGTCTGCTGTAAAGATGCATTTATGTTTCTTTCAAATCATGTTCTTACCACCATCAAAGTGGTATAACATCTCCATGTAGGGCACACAGACAAATAGACAACTCCCCCTTGCAATCAAATGGAATAAAATTATATTCAGATCAGTTCAGTGGCGAATTTGAAGAAGAGTTGGTGTCGCACAAACAGATGGAATGCAAATGTGTGCTTTCTAGCAGTCTGTGTTGAGGTAAAACCCATTTATGGTAAACGGTCGAGAACATTCCATTATAAGAGAAAAGTGATCTCTTCGAAGAGCGTCCATCCAAGGGACAGCAGTGTCCATTTTTGGACTGAGGAAAAAAATCTCGAGCTGATTGATTGCCATTCTTTATTATTCATAAAGAGCGTAACTTAGTTCTGTAACTTAATTTTGATCAGCAAATTTGACAAATTTCCATTATTTTCTCTTGCATGAGGCTCTGCTTTTGGCTCAAGCTTGGTATTACTCATCCAGTCTAGACCGAGAGATTCTGAATCTGCCCTTGTGTACCTGCCCTTCAGCTGCCCACACGCTCGTTTCTCACACCTGAGCCGCTTCCTGTTGATCTCAGTATAGTTCTTCCATCTGCTCTCCAGGTTTCCCGTTGGGCCGAGTGACCGTTTTCTGATCCGCCCTCTCAGTTCCTCTCTGTTAATGATACATCTGATCATCATAGGCTCATTAATGCTAGATGGCTTATTTGAATCATCTCCTCAGTGGGATGCCTTGACCATGACAAACTATGTGTAAAACTTCAGTTTGCTTGACAAAGGAGGATTTATTTATTGTTTGTTCTGTGAAATTCTTCCAGACATCACTAGAATGTCTGAGGCAACATGTATTATGCATTATGTACTATTTGATTTATGGGCTTTTTGGAAAAATACTACCTCTACCTACATACATTACAATTCAAAAACTTATTTCCACACAATTCCATGCACCATACAATGTTATGACCTCAAAACACCTTTACCGTGGTGCATGATTTGTAAACTAACAGATTTTGATTTTGCATCACATAAACAGCTCCATATGTTTGGCATTTTGGATGTACTGTAGTAAACTTGCTCGGTTGCTCAACTGATACAAGTGTTGCACTTGAGAGTTGGAGCGCTCCGGGTACAAGTCTTGTGAAACACAAGTCCCGATAAAAGAGCTCAAAGACTTGTAGAAGCAAGAAAAAATGGCATGGTTAGCATCACATTTTATCACCGCATGTGTAATTTCCGTAATTTTCGGCCGTCATAAAAAAAAATCAGATCGGGTTTCAGCGTTTTTTTTCGCATCCGCAGCAAACATTCAGAGCCACTGAATGACGAATACGGAAATCTCGGACTGTGTGCAAGGACCTTGAGTCTTTTTGACAACTGTGAGAGAGCTATCTCTGTAAATGTATGGGTTATTCTTTTTGAGATATTGGTTTATAAATTGCACAAAAGAGCTTAAAAGCCTTAGTGTTTTGCCATTTTCAAGTAAATAACTTCATAATTCCTTAAAAATGCATTCAATATCAGTATGGATTTTTAGAGTTTCAGTCCATTTAGATGTTGAAATTATTTGTTTATTCTGGCCTGATACCAATTCAGAATTTCATTACCACATTAAATGGTCTGTCACTGGAATGGACTATTAATCATTTGAAAGACGTGCTGCTTATGCAATGACCTTAACTCCAGTCTTATCTCTTCCCAGCACTCCGTAGATGCAGTGAACGCTGGAGTCAGTCCTATCGGAGACACGTCATACAACTCCAGTCACTGGGACTTGGGGAGTTCCTTTTTCTTCGCTGGAACTGTGATAACAACAATAGGTAACACCTAGACATACCTGTATAATATAAATACATTTCAAACTGCGATACCACTTTATTTTGATGGTCCCTTTTGAACATTCTGTTGACTAGAAGCAACTTTGCAACTACATGTCAACTAACTCTCGTTAGAGTATTGGTGTACTGTCTGCTTAATATCTGACAACTCTTTATTGTGATTCTCCCCAACAAACATCCTACTGACTAGAAGTAACTTTGCAAGTAGCCTACGTCAACTTATTCTAACCCTATCTACTAATACTCTCTACTAACACTTTAATGAGAGATAGTAGACATAGATACAACGTTACTTATGGTGAACAGAATGTGTTAAAGGGACCATCAAAATAAAGTGAAACCCAAACGGATACGATAAGGAACAAGACTTCTACAAACCACGTTAATATGCATAGCTCAAGCCAAATACAAGGCATTTGCTCATGTCTTACATTTATAGTCTCACTTTCAGTCAGTATGCCAGACCCTATAACCACCGATCAATATTTGTTCTTTTTTTTTCTCCGCCAACCCCACTTATTTGCCATGCGTGAAACTACTCATGCTTTAGGAGCAATTCATTGATTTTAGCTACATTATTATAGTCTAATGAGATCAAATAAATTGGTGGAAAATCTGTAAATAATACATACATGAAACACCACAATGCATGTGCATTTAAAAAAATAAATAGACATGAATGCAAAGGGAGGCAGTGTTTCACCATTTGCACTCCATTGGAGGTCTAAAGTTATACACTTGAAGTGTACGCTGTGTTACCTGCCAGAGCCTGTGATTGATTACTTAAAGAAGCTGTTGTGCAATGCAGGTGAGTATTTAAATGCTGACATGACTCTCAATGTCATTTCTCATTGGCTCAGCCATCCAGTGGGAAATGGACAAAGGGATAAACAAGATTAGTTTTTACACTTCAGTTGCTAAACCTTCAAACATGCTCTCAGTAGACACATTTTGATCCATGGGGACCATAGGAGGCAATTTCCTATAATGCACGTTAAACCTAAAAAGTATTAAATTAACAGACTGGAATTAACAGACTGATTTGGAGTGCTATAATACGAAGACGTTTATGACTCTTTTATTTGATTTTGTGTAGTTCCTGTAGTTCAGAGGCTTTGAACTAAATATCCATCTAATTAGTCAATAAATTCCTCTTTCTGTGAGCCCCCTACCATTATATGACTTTTTTTTTTTGCACTACATCCGTCATATGTCATATTGAATATACTTAACCTAACATCCTAATACTACTGTCCTCTTCAGCTGCGTCTTAATTTACAGCATTGCTCTCTTGTCTTTTTAAGGTTATGGCAACATCGCTCCAAGCACAGAGGGTGGGAAGATTTTCTGCATCCTTTATGCAATATTTGGCATCCCACTCTTTGGCTTTCTGCTGGCTGGTGTTGGTGATCAACTAGGGACTATTTTTGTGAAGAGCATCGCTAAAGTGGAGAAAATGTTTAGGGTAAGTGAAGTGTTGTGCACAAAACTAGTGTTTCTTTCCTAGGTTATCGAAAACAAGGTTAAGTTAAGTGGATAGATGTACAGTCTGTTCAATGGATTTTGTGGTAAGGCACACGTCTGAAGGCTGGAAAACAATTTTGCCCATTTTTTTCCCGATTTGCAGTCAAGACGAGTCATCGCTACTTATCAAAAGTCCGAAAGTTTTGGGCAGTAGGAGCTTAACAGAAAATTAATGATGGGCTCAGATTTTTTTAGCTTCAGACTATGATTCCATTCAGTAAGAGGATATCAAACATGCTATACAGTATATGTATGATATTTGATATTTTGAGCCATTTTGCATAGCTAAATGACTTTTATTTTTCTTTGTTAGCACAAGGTAGAAAACTATGGATCCTCGTTTCATTATAAAAAGTTAATTACGACTTTTTATCTCACAATTTGGGCTTTTTTCCTCGCACTTGCGAGTTTACATCTCGCAATTCTGACTTTTATTCTCAGAATTGCATTTACAAATATGTCTGGGGGCTATATAGAAATTAATTAAATAATAATTTTAAGAAATTTATACTTATAACTGTATAAGTGTAATTATATTTACTGTATTTTTTTTTTTTTTATCAAATAAATGCAGTCTCGGTAAGTATAAGACTTCTTTCAAAAGCAACACCAAACTCTTGAACGATTCTTTGCATGCCTGAAAAACACTACTGTGATGATTTCAAGCAAATTAAACTAACAATGTATTTTTATGTTATACACTATATTTTACCCTGACAATTAGCACGTCAAGTGTTATGTTTATCATTTTAGAGTATGCAAGGTCACTCCTTGTCATCACTTCCTGGGAGGCATTAGTCAGGACTGTGTTTGTGTTAGGTTAGTCAGTGTTTGCACAGCAGAGGTAAAGGCCTAGTAAATAAACAGAGAACTGTGGCTCCTGATGCCAGCAGGCTCCAGCATCTGCAGGACGGGTTGAGATCACACCTCATTACAGCTAATCAATCTCCTTCAGATCATCATTAGACCCTTCAGAGAGCTAATGAACACATGCCAGCTTCACAAAGTCACGAAATGTCTTCTCATGCCACGTGTGGCCGCTGCTGGCGACGAAGTCGTGCTGTTTGCGTGACTAAGAATGGCTCTTGTACTGTTGCTTCATGTTGATATCGCTTTTTGTCTATTTCACCCCTCCCAGCGCAAACACAATCAAATAAGCCAGACCAAGATCCGAGTGGCCTCTACGTTGCTCTTCATCCTGGCGGGCTGCATCCTCTTCGTCACCATACCAGCCGTCATCTTCAAGCACATCGAAGGATGGACCGGGCTGGATGCGATCTATTTTGTGGTCATCACCCTGACGACTGTTGGGATCGGAGATTACGTTGCAGGTACAAGCAAAATTTACTTTAAATGGATGTGAAAAAAAAAACCCACTTCTCACACTTTGTCCACCAATAATGTCTAACATATGTAGATTTCTGTCATTTTTGTTTTTGAAAGTCTTGGAACTTCCTACCAGTTTTATTTCCAGTACACCTGAGATTATGTATTATTCTAACGACATAGTTTGGAGGAAAATATTTGTTTTTAACATTTAAATAATAAAATGACAGATCACTTTGTCTTGCAAAGGCTAATTTCTTAGCTAGTATTTTAAGTGTCCTTAAATTTTAAGTGTCTTTGATTGGAAATGACGCATACTAATATTTTGTTCATGAGTGATATATAAGCAAAGTAAATATACCTTGATTTCTCAGTGTTTCTTCACATTCAATGTCTCAGATTTCATCTCATGCCCTTCACATTTCAACTAAATCTATGCTGGAAATCATAACACAACTGACGGACAGTCCTACGTAAAAAAAAAAAAATAGAAATCATAAAATAAATATTCAAGTTAAATATTCAAAAATTGAATGCAAGTTAGTATAGAAGAATAAAATGTCATCAGCATGTTCCAGTGGTAAACAAATAGAGCAAGATTAATCGCACTTTGGCAATTGTGGTTTTTATGTACGCTAAAAAATGAGGAGTAAGCGAAAGAAGAGAATATGGATGCGGTCATGGCTAGGGAAAATAGGGCAAACTTGGCATGCCAATTTTGCAAATGGTCCTTAAGGTAAGTAGTTTTAGCGCCATGTCACGTTGATCAGTACGTCATTTCATGTTGCATTTTTATTGGCTAGTCAGTAGACGTAGGTCGTAGAAGCAAACTGTAAGAAAAATCAACAAAAAATGGGACAAAAATTTGCAGAAGTTAAATAAACACTTAAATAAATAATATTCTCATTTACTGTAGATCCCTGTCATGGGACATCAATGGCTTTTGGTTTGCTGCGGTAGGCAAAAAGAACTTTACTTATGAAGTTGATTCCATTATAGACTTTGTTTCAATTATACCCGAATAAAGCACACACACACACACCATATAAAAGCATTTTATTGTCTTTTTGAAAGTATTTGTACTTCCGGACACCATGAATTGTCAAGAAAAAACTGAGCTTGCCTGATTGCTGTTGTCAGGAAAATAGCTTACATGAATTTGGCAGGAGGTTTTGATGCGTGTCTCAAAAAGTATCCTTGTAAGTTTGAAAGACAATCAAATGATTGCATCTCTGAAATGAAAGTGTCATTTATGCATCTCTTCCAGGAGGCAATAGAAGAATAGAGTACCGTAAATGGTACAGGCCGCTGGTGTGGTTCTGGATCCTAGTTGGACTGGCGTATTTTGCTGCAGTTCTAAGCATGATTGGAGATTGGCTGAGGGTGCTTTCTAAAAAGACAAAAATGGAGGTTAGACTTATAGTAGCATTGCATTTACCTTAATTATTCCAGCTAAGCTTTTCTACTTCCATGTATGATGTAATGGTTAATGTTGTGACGCTTATAGCTTAATTTATACTAAAAAACACAATGAAAATGCAATTTATATGTACAATAACTTGAGTATGGCTCTTATATAATGAACATGTTTTTAGTTTCTGTATTATAATTCATTTAGGTATGTTTAGGAGCATAAAGGCAAACATATCAGGGTAATACAACTTTCCTGATATCATAATTCAATAAAAATAATCCATAATATGATTTTTTTTTTTGTAAAAATGAAAGCAAAACTATTTGACTTTTTGAATACAAAAAAAAAAAGTTAGATTTTTAGAGAAAACCAAAGTCTTGTGAAGCAAACAATATGCAGAAACATTGCAGGAGAAAAAAGTCTCTTAATATCCAATAATCGTATGTTTTTAAATCACAAGGCTGGCTGACAAAATGTCATGTGGTGCAACCCATCAAAGACGCTGATGTATATTAATAAAAAAAAATCATGATATTTGTAAAAAAAAAAAAATTTTCTTTAATACATATTTTTTAAAATACATTTTTGAAAATAATTATTAAGATGTGTACACTCACGTGTGCTTCAGGAAAATATTACTTTTAACTTAATGGTTACACCACATGACATTTTCTTGAATTCTCAGAATTTTTTCAAAACTATTTGAAACCAACATGAATAACTAAGAGTACATTTCTAAGACTTTGGCATGTGTTTTTTTTCTGTTTCTTTATCACGGACACTAGTATATGTCATTGACCTGTAACAAAGTTCAATCAATTATTTGCATGGACAACTAAAGGCTCACAGGTTTATTTGCCATTGTTATCTTGTTCAAGGTGGGTGAAATTAAAGCTCACGCCGCAGAGTGGAAGGCCAACGTTCGAGCAGAGCTCCGTGAGACCAGACGTCGACTCAGTGTGGAAGTTCACGACAAACTGCAGAGGGCCGCCACCATTCGCAGCATGGAGCGTAGGCAGCTGGGTTTCGACCAGCGGGCCCATTCCCTAGACATGCTGTCCCCTGAACGTCGAGCTGCCTTCAATAGCCTGGATGCCACCAATTTCAAGACATCCTCCCAGGAGAGCATCGACACAAAACTCAACAACCTACGTCTACGAATTGAGCAGAATGAGCATCGACTGAGCGACCCAAGCCAGGCATACTCTGAAGATAACATTTTCAACCGCCTTGGTTCAGTCACAAAACTAGCCAAGAGGAGCAAGAACAAAGAGTTGAGGAAGAACATCCCAGATGACGGTCGGAAAGCTTTAGATTCCTTCAGTTGTAATACTCCCACAATGGATGAGGAGAAGAAAGAGGCAGAGGATGAGGAGCTCGAGAAAGAGGACAACACCAGTCTGACCAACTTACCTCTCTTTGTGGAGAGCCCCAATAAACAAAACGGATTCATGCCTCTACCGCCACAGACCAAAGAGGAAGAAAACGAGACAAAACTTGAAGACAAAGAGTTCCATTTGCAGATGGAGCCCTAGAAGGAAGCGCTTTATTTAAGGAATTGAAATAAATAACACATGCCTAAAGTGCCTTGTTTAGCCCTTACCCTGATCTGAGATGTGAGAATCTCAATTTCTGCTGTTCATTTAACTGTTCACTGTGTCCTGATAACTTGATAATGGAAATATGGCGAGTGTAGCACTGGAAGACACTTAGTCCTCTTCTTCAGACCGGCGCTGATTAATGCTTGTATACGTTGGAAAGAATCTCTCCAAAAGTCCTGGACAACGAATGAAAAATCTGTAGCAAGCTACAATGGCAGTTCTTTGAAGTGTAACTAAAAGTGCTGCACTTTCAATGTTCTCTCTGCCAGACTGTAATTCAAGGTCATTCATCCAGAAACATAATTGCTTAAAAAAAACTATGTTTGTCAAGATTTCCCACCCATTCTAAATGGAGAAACTAATCTTGAGTCTTGAAATCCCCCAAGATCAAAGATGATAAATCTCTTCGAAGATTATAAAACCATGTTAAATTGTTGACATGTTGTATATGCACAGAGCTGTAATACAAGTGCACCAATATGTGATCCAGATTTATGAAGTTAACCTATAAAATCTCAGGGCTTGTAGTCCTACTGTAGTTGTTCAATTGTACGGTATGTCTGACATACAATTTCCTGCTAATGCTGTTGCTACACAGTACTGTTTTAATATTTTTGAAAGTTAAGGAAAATGGGACGTAAGAGAAGCCATATGGTAGACATGAAAACATTATGTAAAAAAAAAAAAGAATGTCTAGTAGAGTTTAATCACAAACCACTGAATTGTTTATTCATTTAATATCCATTTTGTTTAATGTAATATTTTACCCCAAAAAATGCTCTAAACCTGCATGACTTTCCTAGTTTTGCAGAACCCAAATGAAGATATTTTCAATGTTTCAAACGTTATTTTTTTTGTCCACACAAGAAAGTCAATGGGATCCAAAACAACATTGGATGTTGATAACAATTAATATTTTTGGGTGAACTATCCCTTCAAGCCGTTGTCTTGACACTTTATTAGTTGTCTGACAGTGGCCATTCCACAACATTAACATATCAACAATCTTAAATAATAGCATTTTAAATAACTTGTTTGAATTCAATTCGACCAGACTTTTAATATGTGGATAAAAGACATACTGTATACGGCGTACTTCTGTTTTAGCTTCATAAAAGTTTGGGACGCCGTTCCATTGACAGGACAATATTATTATTATTACTATTTATTTTAATTTATTTTTGCAAGATACCCTTTGTTGAAAATACTAACTGAACATGTTTCACAAGGTTTTCAAATGTTGCACTTTTTGCAAGTTTCTTTCTATGCTTTACAATTATCGTCTCTTCTTTTCCAGAATATTTCTGGACTGGACTTTTGATGCACCACTAAATAATTTTGTGCTAATCGCCTGGGAGCGTCTGACATATTTGCGTGTGCGTTTGCGTTTAAACCAAACACCGCTTCGTCTGATGTGATTGTTGTCTTGCTGACTGTATTAATGAAAACTCCCTTCGGCAGAGACACGTATCAGTACCTCATTCCCTGCAACTCGTAAACGCACACATACAAACACCTACAGCTGCAGCAAAATGCTTGTCGTTAAGATAATGTTAATTACTCTTTTCATGTTTGCAATAGAGCGAATGCAGCGACGGACTTTTTCTCTGTGATAAGAAAAAAGCTATATGAAAATGTACAATGTTTTAAAGCATTCAATACAATTTAGAGACATGGATCCCTAAAGCATGCTACTGTGCTAATATGTTATCATGCTATGGTATTGATTGTACCACAAACATGCTTCTTGAGACTTTGAAATGTCCAAGTTTGAGCTTTACTTCGGGCTGCACATGCTAGTGAATTGCTGTTCGCAGTATCTGCAGTATCTTGTGCAACCATTACATTCAATGTAGTGAGTGCCTTTTGGAAATAAACACAGATGAACACGAATCAATAGTTTGTTTGCTGTTTTCTAAATGTCCTGAGGCAGTGTTATTATCAGATATATATAGTTTCCCTCACTCAAAGGTCAACTTGATACATAAGAATTCATAAAAAAAAAATAAAAAAAAATTAAAGAACACTGAATGTGCTAAAAATCTTGAGGTGACATTCACTTTCAAATGTGTTTCCAGGTGTAAACTCATTCTGCATTACAATAGCAAATATTGTGCAACTTAGATGGGGAATAGATGCCTCTTATAATAGGTCTCTTGAATGGAAATTAGCCAGACTACTACAGACATTGATCTAAATGCTCAATAACAGGTAAATAAAAAAATAAATAAAAAAACCCACTAAATATTTGATTGGCTAAATTGTTCGCACTGCCCTTTAGTGCCGTCACTGCAAGATAAATTTCAATTTGATTGCAGACCGCCGCTTACATTATTGAGCTATGGGAAGCAGCTCTTCTCAACATTACCGACCTTGACATCTGAGCCAATAATAGTGAAGAAGCTGCAAATGGAGGTAAATGTAGAAGTAATCTCCTTTGGGAACATCTTGTGTGTTTGGCTCCATTAATGTGCATCTTATCAGGGCTGAGGTTCAAACATTATCCCCATTTTTTTCAGTTAATAGTAGTCCATAAAGCAACACTTAAACTATAAATTGCATATACATTTGAGAAAATTTTTCTTCATTTGTTCTATTTCAGTCAATCAATCAATCAATCAATCAATCAAACAAGATAATTAGGCCTATGTGGAAATGGATGAATGAAATGTTAATTTCACAAAATTACTGTATTTATCTGAATTCTTGTCATTATCTGGAAGGTGGAGAGGTAAATTTAAAGAAACAATTTAAGAGACTACACATTTTTTGACATCCCTCGGTTTGAATTTTTTTTTAAAAAACATGTATGGTTACAATAATACACGTATAATGAGAGTATAATGGGGAAACTGTACACCACCAGAATATGTATAAATATGAATAGTTAAATATAAATAACTAACCAACCTTTTATGTATAAAATAATACCCAATTTCTCAATTTACATTATGAGCATGTCAACTATAACCATAAATTAATGCAAGGTGTTGCTCCTCAACTGGATGATTTAGACAACTTTAGATTAATTGTGTGTAAATAAAAATATGATCATCACCCTTAAGCTCACACACTCAAATCTTCCAGTACACTTGTCCCACTTAATTTAAAAGTGCATTAAACCTATTTTATTAGCCTTCCTCTTAAGATTGCATTTTGTACAACACAGATTTATACAGCTTTACACCTCTCAACATCCTTCCCATTTTCTCACAAGCAACAGTTTCACACACTCGCAAGAACATCTCTACACCACAATGTAATTAAAAAGTGTTCAAAACTTTCCAAATTATTCTGTACTGCAGTAACTCCACTCATGACAGCAGCGAGTTGAGTGCTTAAATGACTAGTGGCATGTCCTGACTTTTTGGCCCATGTGGGGCAAAGGCTCATTCAAGGGTGACATCTGTGCCTGGCTCCTTGTATAGGCAACAACTAAAAGAGAGTTTTGCAGCTCGAGTAGAAAGTGTTCACCAGGATGGCATTCATCTTCTTCATGTAACACTGATTTGGCCGACCCGAGTATGGTTTTCAGACTCCTAGACGGTCTCCTGTGGGAGTTTTCAACCAGGATTGACCTTTTATCACAGGCCATGGAGCATTGTACTATGTATATCACCCCAGGCCAGAGATGTGGAAACCTTGAGTCTGTCCTCCTAGGGGGATCAGTTCCTAAATGCAGGTCTCTCCACTGAGGTGGTAGAGACCATTCTCAATTCTAGAGATCCCTCCATGAGGAAACTGTACACCTTAAAGTGGAGAGTATTCACTTTATGGTGCAGCGAACGTAGGTTGGAACCAGTTAACTGCCCAGTGGCTTCAGTGCTGGAGTTCCTTCAAGACCGTAGTTTTTCTGCCAGTCTTTCCCCATCCACACTTTTGGATCCACTTTTGACTTCTGGTGGATCTCTGGGGAAGCACAACTTGGTAACACTTTTCCTTCATGGTACTCTGAGGATGAAGCCCGTGGCTCAAGTTAGAGTTCCGACTTGGTATCTAGACGTTACAATGGCACACTTCGAGCCCTTGGACTTGGCATTTGATAAACGCATCGCTTTAAAGATGTCATTTCTATTAGCAATTACTTTACTCAAGAGATTAGGATATCTGCAGGCCCTGTCAGTTGCCTCCTCCTGCTTAGAGTTTGCCCCGGGCAGATCAAAGTTTTTCTCCACCCGAGGTTGGGTTCTCCACCCTAAGGTGCTACTGCGGCCACTAAACAAATAATCAGCAGGTTGATTGTCGAGGCTATTTCTATGGCTTATGAGGTGCGCTTGTCTCCCCTCACCTCTTCAAGTCAGGGCACATTCCACTCTGAGTATTGCTTTCTTCAGAGAGTTATTGTCGGGGGTATCCCTTCAGGAAGTTTGTGATGCAGCAGGGTGGTCCTCTCCACACACATTCATAAGGTTTTACAGCCTGGACCTTCCTGTCACTCCAGGGTCTCAAGTTATTTTGTCCTGAGTTGTGGCGGGACAGCTTCACACCAGGACAGGAATTAATCAGCATAGCGAAGTGGGTATTTCATTCCCCAAAGCGTCACCTGGGGCGCAACCAGGGATGTAGTGGAGGCTAAACGCACGTAAAAGCCGTTTACGCACCTCCCAATATTCGGAAATAGCGTTTACCCACCTTCAAAGTGCGTTTATCCACCTCTAAATTGCGTTTATCCACCTCTAAATAGCTATAAATTAAGCTTGTGTCGTTTTAGTTTCATTTTGTTCATTATTAGTTTCATAGGTTGTTAAACCTAAGACGAACTCTTTCATATTGCGCTGCATTACTGTCGATGTTGTTGACTTTTACTGACAGTAAGGTTGCGCTGTTGACGCTCGCGCAGCCTCTCCAGGAGAAATGGGCGCAGCACACATACACACACACACACACACACACACACACACACACACACACACACACACACACACACACACACACACACACACACACACACACACACACACACACACACTCAGTTAACAACATACTGCCTATAAAAAATCTAAATGTGGAGTTTTTATATTTTTAACCCTTGTGTTATGTTGCGGGTCAATTTGACCCGTTTCGATTTTCAAGTTGTTGGAAATACTGGTTAGCCTTTGTTTTTTTTCTTGATATTTTGTGACTTTTTCTCATTTATCATGATGAACATGCATGCAAAGTTTCAACATGCTGATGTGTTTTGACATATACAAACAAAATTACTGTTACGTTCGTGATGTTCGCGGGTCAATTTGACCCTCATAGGCAGCCATTCAAAAGCAACTGTACAGACACAAAATAAAAACATTTATTTTCTGT